CGAAAAACGGTCACCTGACATACGAGAGACCGGGAGAGATGGTTATGCGCCTCCCACCAGAGGCACTGTGAGGAAGTAGGGGTGAAAATAAGAGCGATAATGGGAAATCAGAACTAATGCGACTTTTGGAATTATCAAGAAAACCCTGACGCCGACAGACCCACCCCAGTTTGTTGCGGCGTCAATAAAAGCAGAACCCCAATCGACAGAAATCAGAGAGTTATAGGGGTAGACGGCCAGAGCAGTTGGAACGCGGGTGGCAGGCCCGGTTCACTCGCCCCTTTGCGGGCAAGAGAATCCGGAATGAAGAGAATTCGTCCAGCCAAGTCGAAGAGAAGAAGATTGCTCGAAAGCCGCAGAGAAGTTACAGCCAAGTCGAAGAGAAGAAGATTGCTCGAAAGCCGCAGAGAAGTTGGAGAAGAATTGCAGGCCAGATAGGCAGAACAGCTGCATCCAGACAGGAAGAAGAGCTGCAGGCCAGACAAGCAGAAGAGCTGCAGGCCAGACAAGCAGAAGAATTGCAGGCCAGACAAGCAGAAGAGCTGCAGGCCAGACAAGCAGAAGAGCTGCAGACCAGACAGGCAAAAAAGTTGCAGGCCAAACAAGCAGAACAGTTCAGCCCCGGACGGCAGCGAGAAGAGTTCACTTCCCCGGAAGGCAGAGAGAAGAGTTCACCTCAGACGGCAGAGAGAAGAGTTCGGACCTTGGCGAGAAGAGTTGCAGGGCGGAAGAAGAAGTTACTTGCAGTTACGCATAGAAGAAGTTGAAATCAAACCAAACCCAAGAACAGAGATTCGTCCAGCCCAAATCGAAGTGAAGAAATTCGTCCAACTCAATCCGAAGTGAATAAGCTCGTCCAACTGAAGCCGCAGAGAAGAATCAGCCGTGAACGACTGGTAGAGATTAGCGCCCAGTGTCGAAACTAAACCACACACCGACATACAAAATTCTAAAGAGTAGGCAACTCGAAGTCTTTAAGTTGTATGATAGAAGCTTGGTGCCACAGTCCACAAGGCGGGTCGGGAAGTAAGAATAATTTTTATGTAACGAACATTAGATATAAAAGGTTGTTACCCTTTTTTATCAGTAATTTTTGGCCTCGTGAGTTTTTCTTTTACTTGTGTGTTGCCACCCCCGTCGAACTCAACTTGCATACGCCCCCAATCCCTGTTTGATCCCGTCTGTCTAAGATCTAATCACAGCGTGGGTAGGCAGACCGGAGATCAGTACAGTTACCCTAGTAACCAGGTGTTGGAAGCGAGTTGGGAACGGCGAGGCTGGTAATCATCTAACCAAAGGGTTGGAACGTCACACTTGGAGCCGCGAACGAGATCGAACGACAGAGTCGACGCTGCGACCAGGGGGGGCGACGTCACCATTGGCGCCGTGACCAAAGGATTCAACCCTGGAACAAGTGACGTCACATATATATATATATATATATATATTAGTAATTTGTTTCACTAAAATTATATGCAATAAATTCAAATTATATATTTGTTTCATTAATATTTTTTTTGCAATAACTTTCGGTTGTACAGATCATATAATGGAAAATTTTTGACTGGATTTTAATGGTAACTGAACTGTTTTGCTCAATTGTAATAATTGCTTGATTTTTATTTTGTTTTTTTTTTTTTACCTGTGGATATAATAAAGTTTTTATAGGCTCGTGTTCTTTTTTTCCTATTATTTTTCGTTTAATTATAATCATGGCTTGTTTAAACAAAATAATACCTCATAAATATAGCCTAGGCTGTACCATTTACTAATAATTTTACTAATTGCGAATTTTTTCTTGATTTGCCCTGCTGAAACTGGGGTGCGTCTTATACACCGTCAAATACGGTAATTATCAAATTCAGAGGGTGACTTCAAACTTTTGGCTTATAGCGCACCTTGTCTGTTTTTTTTCTTTCTATTGTTCTTTTTATCATCAAGAGTTCGAGTGCGTTTCGTCACTCTGGAGCTTCTTCGGTGCAGAGGCCACCAAAAAGCAATTTGTTGATTAATTTGGAAAAGAATTCGAAATTAATCTCCTTTGGAAACCATTCTGTTCTTAGACTTCCCACCGAGCTTATTTTATTCGGAATGATTTTTTCTGTTTTCAAATAAGAGTTTATAATATTTTTTTTCTTTAATTTGTCACCCCCAGAAATGCGATATCGGGTCCTAACTGTATAAAACAAGAGCAAATAAAACCAGGATCTGGAACAGCATTTTTTCAAAAGGTGAGACGGGGTACACTAATGCGCTCCAAAAGGTAAGTCAAGTTCCCTAAGTTAACAGAAGAGTAATTTATGGATTACTTTCATATTTTTAAAAAAAAATCTGTATGTTTAAAAAAAAAAAAAAATCGAGACGCCAAGCAGTATAATGTCTTTAAAATAAATACTTATTTCAGGAGTCTTCTTTATTATCTTCAAATTTTCGAATTTTAATTACATTACTCGGACCGTTATCCTCATCTTCATTGCCATATTCACAACGTTTCGGCCGTTGTATGCTCCGGTATTCTTCAGGTGATTGGAATTTCGAACCGAACCCTTTATTTCGTCCACCGGGGTAGAATGTTCTAGTTCCACGTGCCATGCCTTTTCCGGATATCCCAGTTATTTCCCTTTAACTCAACTCTCCAAGTTTTGGTTCACCGCTGCTGTGGCTTGGTATTGAACTCACAACCTTTTGGGTCTAGTCATTGAATCTAACCATCGTCTTTATCATCTAAGCCATGTGTCTTTGAAGAAGGCTGGAGCGTATAACGGCCGAAACGTTGTAAATATGGCAATGAAGATAACAGAGTAATGTAAATAATGCAAGTAATCATAATACCTCATCTCAGAGACATAGATACCAATGGTGACTATAATAAATAAATAACTCCTGTTCTTTTATTGTTCTTTCTCTTTAATAATGTTTTTCTTTTCCTCATATGCTTTCACACCTAGTGAGCCATTCGGTGTTAGTGGAATTATTTCCTTGGTTGGGGGTGAAATGATTAAAAAATTAAAAATTTAAAATGTCAAAATCTATAGTAATTTTCTAAGAGTAGCTCAGATGTGGCACAAGGCCGAAAGTATGAGGAACCCAGTGAGGATCGAACTCACTACTCAGTTGTAATTGTTCTAGCGAAACAAGCTCGCTAACCATTACACCACCTCGAAGTGCCCAAATGCCAAAATCTATAAGCATGGAATGTGGAACTAGAACAATCTACCGAGGTGGACGAAATAAAGGGTTCGGTTCGAAATTCCAATCACCTGAAGAAGACCGGAGCGTACAACGGCCGAAACGTTGTGAATATAGCAATGAAGATGAGGATAACGGTCCGTTTTTTTCATGAATAAAAATAATAAATATACAATATAATATGAAAGAGTAAATGAGGAGATAGATAAATAATTTTCACTTCCGTTATTTTTCTTGAGACAAATCCCCCCCCGCCCCAAATAAATTGCTATACATCAAAGCAACTAACATAATAAAAGCTGGGGCACATGATATTGATCAATATCACCTGGTTTACTCGACCGTGGAGCACCTTTAAGCGAGTAATCTCAAACACATTGCATACCACTTTTAACAATTCCAGGTATTGCACATTGGAGAGGCATTTTTACATTTCGAAAAATTAAAAAGAAATCTAAAATAGAAAATGTTTACATATTCAATGTCAAAATCTATAAGCAAAAAGCCGATTTTAACAGATATGCACGTTGATATGATAAATATGGCAGTATAATGCAAAGCAAACTTTTGAATGAAAAACTAAGCGTTCCTTCAGCCATCTAATAAAATAAATCTGAGCAAACAGTTTTGGTTAACCACTACCTATCTCTCTCTCTTTCTCTCCATATATATATATATATATATATATATATATATTATATATATATATAATTAAAGTTAAAAAAAATTTCGCTTGAGGATGAAATAGAACTAATGTCTTTAATTTAATTACAAAATTGAATTCAAAGCTTTTAGTTTCCATTTTTGAAACATGGTTAGAACTGTTTAGCGAAAAAACATTTTAAATCAATTAATTTATAATATTAATGCTCTGTAAATTTACATTGAGCACTATTTTGCAAAAATAAAATTATCTATAAGAACACCATATATATCCTACTGTTCTTTCTTTATATAAGGGTGCGATGGATAAATTGTTGTCTAAATTATGCAAAAAAGAAAAAAAAAACACTAACGTTTCATTTTAACAGGTATATTTACCAAAATTACACAAAAATAATTGAAATGCTAAAGAGTAAATTTATTCAATAAAATCATCATTGGTTTCAACGACAGTCTCCAGACGACACCTGCACCTCTTCTGTGCGGCCTCCTTGTTTAAGTTCGTGAATGCTGCTATAATCCTTGCCTTCAGTTCATCTTTGGTGTTACAAAACCTTTTGTTTGTTACTCGCTAAACTGCGCCCAAGACAATAATCAAGAGGGTTGCAATATGGGGAGTTAGGTGACCAGATGCAAAGGGTGATGTGGTCGGAGAAATTGTCTGACAGCCATTGTCTGGCATCACCCGCTCGTGTGGCATGGTGTAGAGTCGTGTTGCCAGACAGAATTTTCCAGCAGCCAACCTCTTGGCCCAGGGCAGCACTACCTTTTCAAGGCACTTGATGTAGGCCTTCATGTTGAATCTGAGGTCCTCACCAACAAATTCTGGAGTTCTTATCAGAATGATCAGAGTGAGTTTTCCGAGCTGCCGTATCTTCATAATCACCATTAGATTCTTCGAACACTTTTCGAATCCTCTGCACTGTCTTCAGATTGACACCGAAATACTCTGAAATATCCGTATTAGAGCTTCCGGTGCGAATGCCAAAAAGTACAGCATGTCATTTTCAAATTTCTGGCAAAGTGAATTGCGTCATGGTGCTCTTTTTCTCACAGACGGCGATCAATTGACCCTACTATATTGGACAGTCGACAAAATTAAAAAAAAAAAAAACAACAACACGAAAGCACGAAATTAAGCATATAAAATGGCGATAATTTACCCATCGCACTCTGTATATCTATCTGTCTATCTATCTCTGAATATCAATCTCTTTATCCGTCTATCTCTTCATCTATCTATCTCTGTATATCTATCTGTCTATCCGTCTATCTCTTCATATCTATCTGTCTATCCGTCCATCTCTTCATCTATCTATCTGTCTATATCTATCTCTCTATCCGTCCATCTATCTATCTCTGTATATCTATCTCTTTATCCGTCTATCTCTTCATCTATCTATCTGTTCACCTGTCTATCTCTTCATTTGTCTGTCTTTCTCTATTTGTTCATCTATCTGTTAATCTATCCATATATCCATCTCTTCATCTATTTATGTATCTATTTATGTTCATCTATTTATCCAACTTTTACCCCTATTTATCCAGATCTTTTATCTATTTCACAGTGTTAATATTTAGGTCATTTTTTTACACGAATTCTGTCCTTCGAAGTCAGTCATTTTCACCAAATGTTAGTTTATCAAAAAACATTGCAGAATAATCAAAAAGCGATTTTTGAATAAAAAAAAAACTGAACGCTCCTTATACCATCTAACAATAAAATCTGAGCGGACATTTTCGTTTTCCCACTATCCACCTAAATCTATCCTTATCGCCTCTATTTATCCAGACCTGTTCCTGTCGATCAATCTCATAGTGTAAATATCGAAATCTGTTTTCCTCAGCGAGTTCTGCCCTCTGACGTCAGCCGGTCCCAACAAGTAGCAATGTACCAAAAACATCGCAGTTTTAGACACTGTATCTTCTGGTATGAATCTCTTAAATTATCGGACTTATTGTCTGAGATATTTATGTGAGGTCCAAGATTGTTTTGATTAGAACGATCGGAAGCTTTAGATATCATCGCAATGCCCATTATGAGACTTTCCTCGTCTTATCATTTCTAATACAATCAAACGGGATAAGTTCATAGCGTGAGATTAGAGAGAACATTTTCAAACTAATCTGTCGCTGATCAAAATTTATGAGCAATCATTTGTAGATGCCGAATACATTTATTGATGATTGTTGCTCTCGGGGATGTTAGGGTAGGCAAATGATTATCATCATAGAAAAAGGAACCGGCTTGAGACTGAGGCTTGGGGTAGTTTGCTTCCCATCAATGCACATTTGGAAGGGCATGACTTTCTCTCCCAATAGATCATATCACGCATTGTACAAGGCCAAAGAGCCGCTCGAGGTGGAGTGTTAGAGAATAACAAGCAAAGTGTCTGGATCATGTCACCTATTATTCTTCGTAGTCCAGCAACCAGTTTAGGGTAAACAACACGACAGCAGGAGCTTTCAAAGAGGATCATTTTTTTGTTTACAATAGAACCGAGTTCGAATTCCAGTCGAATCCATTACATTCACTTACGTGCTAATACCCTTGAGGAAGTGTATGAATCGTCTTCTTTTCCCAGCTATGGGTAAATAGCAGGACAGACCGGGTTCAATAACCTTGGATGTCAATTGGTCTACCGCAGAAAGAAATGGCAACCTACTGCGGGAAAAAATCTGCCTCGTCAGTCATGATCACCTAAGCATGTATAAAAAAATCTCCTGTCGCATTTGAAAGCGAGAAAAAAAAATCAACTGCTTCTCTGGAATTAATTAATACATTTAACTATGATCATATTTTGCACTCATTATTGATAATTGTTGTGGAGTAGTTTTCACAGTGGAGGCTTGTATTTCAATAAGTCGTCCTAAATTAGGTTCGACGTACAAAACGTTAGGAACTTGAAAAATAGAGTTAATGACGCAGCAATCTAGTTGTGATGGTTGGTACTTCAATGTCCGATATCGTCTGACTTGCTGAACACCACTGAGACGAACTGGCGACCGCTACTCCTACTTATTGTCTATGGGAGAGTCTATTACAATAGAATAGGTACTATGGCATAACAATAATATAATCCTATCTATTTGGAAAATTGTTGAGCTTAAATTTCTTTCATTTTCGATGCAAAGAAACATTCAGTATCAGTTTTAATCTCTTCACAATTAATAAACCTTTTTTCCTGTAAAAGGTTTTTAAATCATCTGAAAAGATGATAGCCAGGTAGAGCATCGAGGATGAGGCAAAAGATTCAGATTCAAAAGATTTTTTCCTTCATTATTCAGGCAGTATGTAGTTTTTCTTTTATAGGAGGCATGGTGGAGTAATGGATAGCGGCTTGGATTGAGAAATCGGAGAGCCGAGTTCGAATTCCATTACATTCAGTTACGTGCTAATACCCTTGGGAAAGTTATGAATCCACACTCCACCGCAGCTATGAGTAAACAGCAGGTTAAACCCGGTTTTATAGCCTTGGATGGCAACTGGCCTACCGCAGAAAGAAATGACAACTTAATACAGGAAAAAATCTGCCTCGTTAGTCATGTATTGAAAGATACATGATCGTCTAAGCGTGTGTTACTCATAGCACTGAATGTTCACTCTTAACAGAGCACATTGCTAGTATATTTATTTAATTTAATTTGGTTTTATGTTTTGCTTTTGGTTCACAATTTTCCCATAGCTGGGCCCCTAACAGGTGCTACCACCCCAGGTGAGGGTGGATGTGGGAACAACAGCAATGTTCCACGCTCCTCAAAACCTCCAATATCCCTATCAGAAGCCTTGCTGCCGGGTGTACTTTACCCTCATATCCAAGATTAAACTGGCCAAGTAAATGCTTATAAACTGAAATATTAGTGACCAATATGTACTTATTCCCGACCGAAATAAATGCTTACAGACTCAAATATAACGACCAATATTTACTTATCTCCGAATGAAGTAAATTATTATAGATTCCAATATAAACGATCAACACATACCTATCCCCGAACGAAGCAAATGCTGTTAGACCCAAATATAAACGGCCAATATTTACCTATTACTAAGCTTATAGATTCAAATATGAACGACCAATACTTATCCCCGGACAAAGTAAAGGCTTATAAACTCAAATATGAACGACCAATGCCTATCCACGAATCAAGTAGATCCTTGCATATAAAGATAAGTACCTCCACTTTTTCGCTAAAATGTATAAAATGATGAAAAAGGACGCAAACTTTTTGAAAAAAAAATATTATCGTCAAAATGTTTATGTCATTACTAAGAGGATAGACTAATGTATTTTTTAATCTTTTTTAGCACGTTCGAAATTTTGGTAAAAAATGTTTTTCTTGCGTCGGCGAGTGGGTCAAAGATTACCGAAAAATTTTGTGTCTTTTTGTGGTAAAAAAAAAAACACATCGTTTTGGAAATTCTTGCAAAAATCAAATAAATATCGGATTTTTATTAAATTTCCATACTTATTCACAAATGAATGAAATTATTTGTGATTTTTTTTTTTTTAGAAAATCTTGAATATATATATATATATATATATATATATATATAATTGAACATCTTTTACCTTTTACTCCTACTTAGTTAATTTTAGGAAATTTCGAGAAATTATAAGTCAGTCTCTTCATATTTACATCAGGACTGGAGAATTTAAATCATAAATTTGCTTTTGTCAAATAGAAACAAAATTTACCGAAAACCTTCTCTCAATCGAAAAATAAAAAAAACAATAATATTATGACATTATTTAGTTAGAAAAAACTTAATTACTTTTGTAAATAAGATATATAATTGACACTATTCTCTTAAGAAAAAAGAATTTTTTGATGAATAATGAACTTTTATAATATTTGTTTTCATTATAAAAAAAATTTAATAATTTATAAAGTTTTAATTCTTTTAAAATTTTATATTTTTTTCCACCTTTTAGATGATATTATTATTAAGTGAAAACTATATTTAATAATCATAAATGCAAAAGCTTAATTCAAATCATCAAACACCAGTATTTTTAAAGAATTAATTTTTTTTTATCTGCATAAACGTGCCTATTTTTGAAAGTACAGGCGACCATACATGACTTTATCAGAAAATAAGAGCGATGACTGTAGTAAATGTAAAGTCAACATTCCTAAAATTAGATGACGGAGAATATTTTCCAGAATTTTCAAGATTACTGAAATATTAAATTATATAAAAAAACCCTGTTACATCATTTTCTTAAATTATGTTTTATAGATAAATTCTCCCTAGAATCACATTAAACATGTCATCAGGTTTTCAACACATCAAAACAACTACTGTCGAGTTAAAAAACACAGCTCCTGCCAGGTTTAAAAGTGAATTTCTGTGATATATTAAAAAAGTAAATAATATTTGTTTAAAATCAGATTAATTATATTTTAAATCAGCTACTATTCCTCAAATAAGATTTCAGAAAAGTATAATTTATTTTTGGAAGACTTTTTTTAATAAAGAATATTACATTGTGAAGAAAGGCGACTAAAAAAGGGCGCTAATTAACAAAATAAAATCTCCTTCCAATCAATTTCAATTAGTTTTAGATTAGTTTTTGAAATAAGCAAAGTATTTTGCTTATTGAAAATATTAACACTATTTACATTATTCGGATACCCAACATTAAAATCCGCCTTGGGCCACATCTGACCACGTGGGGTGGTTAGTAGAATTCGGGAATTACTAGTCTGCCACTCGATTGACGTCTTTCAGTGGTGTATTCTTTTTCCTTTTGTTTTACAATAAACCTCTTTTTCTTTCATCTACGCGCGTTTTGCTGTTCCTTTTCCTTGAGTATCACCTTCTGTCTGCTTGTAACCTTCTTTAAGGATAGAACAGAAAGTGAGAACTGGGAGCGTTTAAAGTAAAATAATCATTAATTTTATGTTGTAATATCTGGTGTAGATCACTTAAGATCAAATTGGGTAAATATTGTACAGAATGCATTCGTTCAAATTGCGTTTAGCTAAGACTCATCTGACCCTATATGCTGCATGAATTCAAAAAGCGCCCCTAGCCAACAGAGGAGGCAAGAAATACTCGTTCTATGGAAATTAAACTAAGTGTCTGGACATGTCAAATTTACTTTGGCTAGTTTGGTTTGGTTTGTTTTACGGCATATCAACCTCAATGGGTTTTGTAATGCCGACAAAACTTTTACAGCTTGTAATATTTTTTCTCAAAAATGTATTACTGGAAATAACGTATTGCTGGTAATATTTTTTTTACAAAGTATTTCTGGTATTAAAACCTATTTATTACACTTTTTATAGTGTTTTGACCCCAGTTTGTAGGTTAACTATTTGCCCATAGCTGGGGCCCTAACAGGTGTTACCACCACGGGTCAAGGTGGATCTGGGAACACCAACAATTAAGAGGTGGGTCTACGCTCTCCAAAACCTGATCAGAGGTTTTGCTGTTGGGCGTAGTCTTAC